AAATGAGATAGATTTTGGACATGACATTTAAAACTTAGGTTTGACTAGAATAATTATTATATATTTAATATTTATATAGATACTCTATTTAATCCGAAATTTTAATTAGATTTGATTATTTTTAAATTTTTCTTATATTTATTTATCATTATTTTTTATTTTTGTAGGTTTATTTTAAAAAAGAAGAAGAAGAAAGGTCTCGAAATTACAAAAAGAAGGAGTTGGGTTTGAAAAAGGATTGAAATTCTAAATTATGTTGGAATTAAAAGTCTTGTTACACTTTTGGTTGGGATTAAAACCCTAATCTAACATACAATGTATTTGACTTGATTTTTTGGAGAGACGTGAATATGATTAGAGTTAAACTCTAAAATCCAAATTCTTATGAAAGTAAATAAGAGGAAGTTCTTGTTTCATTTGATTTACGATTAGGTCCCTCTTAAAAAAACCCATACAAGCACACGTAAAATTGAATGGTAATTGATAAACAAAAAAGATAAAGTTGCAAAATTTTTTAGTAGTAGATATCTTTGATTTTGAGGTTTGCTTGGCTATATGTTTATGCTTTAGGGTTTTTTATCTCAATTTTTTGAAGATTTCTCAAAAGATCTGAATTGGTGGAAAGAGAGATATAAAAAGCAACATTTGGTTGTTTTGAAGAAGCAAAAAAATAAAAATAAAAATAAAAACAAAAAAGAGTTCAGTGATTGCTTTTGAATTGTGTGTTGTTTGTCTTGCATCTAAGGTACAAGTCTTAAAACCATTGGTCTTTGATTTTGATTATTTGATTATTGCTAGCATTTTCGAGTTCTAGGTTCATACTTTATTATTTGTTTATTTCCTTATACATATATTTTTGTTTATTTATCTTAATTTTTTACATATGAAAAATCTAAATTATTAATTTTTCTACAATTAAAATATATTTAAACTTAAAAGGAAATAAAATTTTCAATAACAGAGCCTCTTCAAGGAAACAACCATGTTATTTGAATACTATTTAGGTGAGGAATATTTTTAGAAGGTCAACCAAGGTGTTGTATGTTCTTAAAAAGGAATTAATATCTTATTCATTTTGTCTTTATCATGCAAAAATAGTTATGCTGGGCAATTCTCTCTTGTCAAATGATAAGCTTATGATGGCAATATGAACATTTTGAAGAAAATATTCTTTTGATTATTCTGCTTAATTATTATTACCATTCTTTGGAATGTTTTTAAAGAAAAAATTCAAATTTGAATCATTGCATATATGAATTTTGATGGATGAAGGAAAGATGATATTCAAACCAATATAACAAGACTAACCTTTCTAGAGAAAGAAAATGCTTTTATTTTGATAATTGCATTTGCATCATTGGTTGAACTATGCATTTGCATCATTTTGTGAACATTTGAGTCATTGTTTTGAATAATGCATATGCATTATTGTTAAAATCCTACATTTGCATCATTTGATAAGCATCTAAATATTTTGTTTTGAATATTACATTTGCATCATCGTTTGAATTGTGCATTTACATCATTTGATGAGTTTAAATTTTTGTTTAGAATTTGCATTTGGATTATTACTTGGATCAAGCATTTGCATCATATAGTGAATTGTTTAGATCTTGCATTTGTATCATTTAACATTAATCATTGCATTCACATTTTTAAAGAAAGACATTTGTACTTCATCTTTGGAATAGAACATGTGGGATAGATATTTGCATTTACATTTGAGAATATTTTGCATTTGCATTAGTAAGATAAAATGTGTTACATCTTGGATAAAAGGCATTTGCTTTCACATCATTTTTAGGATATGACATTAGCATTCTTGTAAGCTTGGAGATAAAGAGAGAAATTAGAGATATTAGAAGGAAATGTCGAGATTATTGGAAAAATAAGATGTTTAAACCTAGTTTAGCTGGTCCATTGGATGAGATTTAAATCCAATTATGTTGGCACATGAAAATAACAATGTTGTGATTTTTCTTTTAAAGTTGTGGAACTTTTGTTTAAAGGAGACTTTTTAAAGATAAGCAAGATTTTTAATACCTCAGGGCATAATCTTAAAGACTTTAAGATTTTATTTGTAAGACCTCTGAACATAAACTCTAAAAACTTTTGGGTATGATTTTTAAGACTCTGAACATAAACTCTAAAGACCTTAGGGCATGATTAGTAAGATCTTAAAGTATAATTACAAGACCTTCGAGTATGATGTTCAGAATCTCTAGGTATAATAACTTAGTCTAAGTCATTTTATTTTCAAACTTATGCTCAGTTTAGGCCGTTACTTTTTTCAACTTCGATTCAATTCAGGTCATTTCATTTTTAGACTTTGACTTAGTTCAAGTCATTTCATTTTTGGACTCCCACTCAATTCAAGTCATTTCATTTTTTGGATTTTGTCTTAGTCTAGGACTTGACTTCAACCAAAATTTTTAAAACATTTTAAAAGTTTCATTACCTTTGGTTAGAAAAGTTTTTTTTGTAAAATTAAAAGTTACATTACCTTTAATTAGAATAGTTTTTTCAAAATTTCAAAGTTACATTGCCTATGGTTAGAAGAGCTTAATAAAATTTAAAGCTACATTGCTTTTGTTTAGAGGAGAGTTTTAAATTCTTCAAAAGTTGTTGAGCCTTTATTTAAATGAGTTTTTGTTTAAAGAAGTAATTTTTTTTTAAAAAAATCTATTTAGGTAGATTCAGATCCAAACATAAATGGCTATTTATATTTTTGCAAAATTCTTATTTCACAGAAAATGCATAAAAAAGGAACAACTATAGACACCCTATTTAGTTTGGAGTTTTACTTAGATTTAATTGTTTTCAAAATTTTATTTTATTTGTTTCTTATTATTTTATTTATTCTATTTTGGTTTATTAAAAAAAAGAAGAACAGAGATCCTAAAATTACAAAAGGAAGGAGTTGTGTTTAAAAAAGGATTAAAATTCAAAATTATGTCGGAATTAAAAGACTTGTTACACTTTTGGTTGAGCTTAAAATCCTAATAAAATGTATAACGTATTTGACTTGATTTTTGGAAGAGATCCAAATAGGATTAGAGTTAAACTCTAAAACTCAAATCCTTGTAAAAGTAAATCAGAGGAATTTCTTATTCCATTAGATTTTGGGTTAAGTCCCTGTTTAAGATACCTAGACAAGGAAACAAAAGAATCAATAGCAATTGATAGATAGAAGAGACAAAGTTGCAAAATTTTTTAGCAATAATTATCTTTGATTTTGGGGTTTGCTTGGTTGTGGGTTTATGTGGTTTTCAATTTCAATTCTTTAAAGATTTTTTAGAATATTTGAATTGGTGGAAGGAGAAATATAAAAAGCAATATTTGGTTGTTTTGAAGAAAAAAATAAAAAAAAAAGGTCAATGATTGCTTTTGAATTGTGAGTTGTTTGTCTTGCATGGACTTCAAGGCACAGTCTTAAAACCATGGGTCTTTGATTTTGATTATTTGATTATTGCTAGCATTTTCAAGTTTCATATATCATATTTTATTATTTGCTTATTTGTTTATATATTTTTTTGTTTATTTTTTACACATGAAAATTTTGAATTATTAATTTTTGTACAATTAAAATATATTTAATCTTAAAAGTAAATAAAATTTTCAATGATGGAGCTTTTTTAAAGAAACAAGTATGTTAATTGAATACTTTTAAGATAAATAATATTTTTAGGGGGTCGACCAAGATATTGGAGAAAATCTAAAAGTATTTTTAATATTTAAATTTTAAAATTAATAAAAATAAATAATAAGAATAAGTTAAAACCATATTAATTAAAGTTAAAAAGATAATTTAAGATTAATTGGTACTAATTTATGTAAATTGGAGGATGCTATAACCTTCAACATGTAAATGAATTCCTAAACCAATTTTGTTTAGAAAATCGTAACATATTCCTTTTAGAGACATTTGGTCAAGTTTAAGATTTTTTTAGAAAGAGTAGATTTACTTAGGTGATCAATTATATCAAAATAGAAAAAATTGGTGATGATTTCATATATTGTGTCTAATAAATTAGTTCTCAAACTTACACATTATGCCATTTATAATTATATATATAAAATAAATATATAATTAAACAATAATGTATACATTAATACCTTATGTTTATATATATCAATCCCATTCAAATATCAAATTAAATTAACAAATTTTTTTAAGCTTTATTTTATTAATTATTTATTTTATCATAATTAATATTTATTATAAAAATTTTATTTTTTATTTAAAAATAAAATCTAGACAACCCTAAATAACTTATTTTCAAAACAGACTGAACTTAAATAGCAAAATGAAACTCATTGTTGAGCCGTACTTAGACAAATTTAAAACAAATTTAAAACTTATTAATATTCTACTTAAGCCCAGCTCATAATCAGCCTAACTCAACTCATTGAGTTCATTTAATCCTTCTTTTCTCATATAAAAAAATAATTAAAATATAAATTTGTATAAAAACAGTTGGATCCAATGAAATTAGTACTATATCTCATAATTTTTGGGTACTTTTCACAAATTTCCTTAAAAAATTTAGATAAACCAATAAATTAACTTGATTACTTCCTTTAAATTAAACTTAAAAAATTAAGTAGGTATTACGCTATCTTAAAATCTAATGCTAACTTCATATCACAATCCTTTGAAACTTTAAACGGTAGGAAATTAAAATAATACACTATATTAATTTTTTTCCTTACAAAAACCTCAATTAAAAATTTTCAAATTTAACCAAATAAATAAAACTTAAAATGAATTAAAAAATATAAAAATGGGTCACACGTGGCCCCCGCTAATCTTACCATATATATATATATATACATATACAAAAATTTATACATAAAAAAAAGAAAAAATATTAGAAAGAGAATAAAAAAATAATTTTTTTTAATTTTTAATTTTTTTTTGAATTCAAAAGTTTTTTTTATTCAAGTATAAATAAATTGAACTAAATAAAGAGGGGAGTGAGAGAGATGAAAGTGAGAGACAATGACACAACAACACATCGCTGTCTTAACCTTCGAGTGCCTCAAATTCACTCACTTCGCTTTTGTAAATTGTAACTCTATATCTCTAAGCATCCTCCTCTTCTTTTCTTTCTCCGTCAAACTTCGAGGCTCCGTGCCCTGAGCCCGAAAACGGAAAAAAAAAAAAAATCCAACTGATTTGCTCCCATTTATTTGCCCTGCATTTGCCATCACTTTCTAGGGGGAAGTTTAAGAAGAAATGTACTCGGATATTCGGTCTTTACCGTTGGATGGATGTGTGGGAGATTATCATGGGTCACTTGATGGGACCAACTTGCCTGGTGATGGTTGCTTGGTCCTGACAACTGATCCGAAGCCTCGACTCCGATGGACAGCTGAACTCCATGAACGTTTCGTCGATGCTGTTACTCAACTTGGCGGCCCTGACAGTGAGTATTCGTTTCTGGGTCATCTTTGCTTTTGCTTTTAACTGTAAAAATGGGATTTTTCCCTTTTTTGTTTAAGCAATTGAGTTTATTTTTATTTGATTGGATAATAATGTATTATTTTAATGTTAATTTTTTATTTTTGGGTTGGTTTCTTTGTCGTAGCTCTTGCTTTTGAGACTTGGCTCATCTTTTTTTCTTTCTTTTTGCTAATGTGATTGGAAATATTGGGTTTTAAAGTTAATGCAATTTTTTTTTCTCGTTCCTTGAAATAAGGTCATTTTTTATTTTGGTAATTCTGGTTTTTATGTATTCATGGATTACATGCCATATATTTTATTTCAATTTTTAAAACTCGGTATTTTTGCCCTTTTTCTTCATTTTTTTTTATTTTTTATTGTTGAACTAATTGGTGTGATGATGTTTGATATAGTTGTTTTATAGGCTGAATTGAAGTGATTAAAGGAGTGTTCTTTGCCTTTTTTGGATGAAGAAGATATGTTGTTACCATGTTCTTCATATCAGCTTTGAGTTAATTACCAACGGCAACCACAATTGTTTTTCATTGTAATCATTGGTATGATCAAAATCATGTTCTCTGTTTGTACCATTAATATCATTAAAAAATGGATCACGACGTCTAGGAGCTTTACCTCATTGCTATTGGCTCTTTCTCTCTAGAAGATATCTGCCAATCCTATAGTTTTGACCTCTTGTTTCAGGTTTTACTGGAAGGGACTGTCTTCTTGTATGTTTATACACAACATATATTTGCATAAACATTGACTAGCTTATTCATTGAGCTTAGTTTTGTTTTCTTTTTATTCTTCTACTATGACTTTATGGTTATCTATTCAAATTTCTGGTAATATTCAAAATTTGTGCGACCACAATATATTTCTTGGGTACTTCTCTAGTGATAAAATACAACCAAAAGGACAAAACCTTGTTTTGAAACCATCAAGTTCAATAATTTTGGTCAGCATACTTTTGTTGGAAGACAAACTAGAGCAACTGTGGTAATTTGTCTTGTTCTGGGAAGAATATTCTTGGTATTAATATTTTCTTCCTGAAAAAATTATGCCAAAGTATTAAGGTTTTAAATTAAAACAAAATTATTGGGTTTGTCCAGAAAGTTATTGACGCTGTTTAAACATAGCTAGTAGGAAACAATTCTACAACCATCATAGCACAATGTTCTTTCCTGCTCTTTGAAATATGCAATATTTCTTTCAAAATGCAGTGCACAAGTATATTGCATGTTAATCATTTGGATTTGTCCCTTAAATGATTTTCTAGCTCCTTTTTTGGTGTCTAAAGTGGACTTCTGAGAATATTGATGACCTAAGTAGTCCATGTGGTTGTAATTGTAATAATTATGCTTGTGGAGAATTGAAATCATACTGATAGTGTGAGGTCACTAAATGAGGAAAAGAGTATGAAATATTTGCCTTTGTGAGTGATTTTGAGACAAGATGGCAACATATTTGTCTCAATGCAGTAAAATAAACATCATATACATAACAAATTAAGAACATTTTGAGTGATTTTGTGATGGCGAATTGGCAACCACTTAAACTTTTGTCCTAAACCCTTAGGCCTTTCTGTTCAATTTTCTTTCTGGCATCTTTTTGTTTGATTGATGCCTACCACTCCTGAGTCAAAAAGTTTATCAGGCTTGGTGTGCTCTGAGTTGGAAGTTGGGACATTATTTCCTGGTCCAAGCTTGGTTCATATTCAACCAAATATGCAGATGATTCGTACCCCAACTTCTCTAATTATAGTTGTGCAATGAGTTAATATAATCCCTTAGTGGCTTAGCCAGGCTGATCATACATGCTTCTCTGTTTGAATCTCTGATTTTAAGTGAACCAAATCTAGCTGATTCACAGCAACATTATGAGTCCATCATTCATGTATCCTTTGGTTTTGTCTTATATGCTTTGCATTTTGTTATCTAAAGTTATAAATCCTTGGTGTAGCTAAACTGGTTTGTGTTGAACATGCATTGCAGAAGGCAACCCCTAAGACTATTATGAGAACAATGGGAGAAAAAGGCCTTACCCTCTATCACTGGAAGTCAACATCTTCACGGTTTGTTTTACCTGCCCATCTCTTCAATGTTCACAATTTAAGTGGTTCCCTATACTTATATTGGTAGTGTCATGTTTTCAGCCTTCTCTTTTCTATGTCAAAGATGGATCTTGATTTGCAACTTGAATTTACATAGCTAGTAAGCATCTTTCGAAATTCTGTGCCCTCATTAGTATCTGTTTTTGGTTTGGTGTTGGAGGAGGGGGCTTTACCAGCTAAGCTAGTTGAAATTCTGATGATCTGTTTGTTCTAATTTTTTTTTCCTTTACCTAATCCCCTTATTTGCAGAAATACGGCTGGGGACGCAAGCTTGCAAGGAATCAACTGATAACCCTAAGGATGGTATGCGTCTTGGTCTCTTAATTCCTAATTACTCTAGAGTTTTTCGCATTCAATATGAATATAATAACTTCTTCTTTCTACCTTCTTTTAGTCTTGTACTTTTGATGTACTTATGAGTCATGACCAAGTACCATGACTATTCGACTGTTTCGACTCTGCCAAAAAGAGACCATTGATGAAAGGTTTCTTCTTTCTATTATATTAACCCAGTTTATTTCATTACTATAATAGAAGAAACTACGCTCTACAAGGCATGAGCTTTTGGGGTTTGATAAATTACCAAATTTTGCTTTTAAAATTATTTATTTAAATTTGAGTTTTTGGTTGGTCTTGGAATTTAAAGAGGGAGTTTTTTAGACATGAGCTCTTGGGTTTTTAATGAAATTACCAAAATTTGTTTATAAAATTAATTTTATTTGAATTTCACTTTTGGGTCAGTGTTGGCATTTAACCTCTTCTCAATTGTTTTCCTTTCTGCCATGTTTTGTATTATGTGTTGTTCTTAGTGGAGGTCCTGCGAATTATCTCTTGTGAACTGGTAGATGCCAGATAATAGCTATTCATGTTCTTAATTGACTGATAGTGAGATGTGTCATTGGTGTTTCAGCTTCTTGTGTCGCAGAAAGTCAGGACACTGGTTCATCTACAACATCATTATCATCGAGAATGGTAGCACAAGACTTGAATGAGTATGTTATTTCTTCTCTTGTTTGACTATTTTGGTAGTTTTCTTGGGCTTTGGATGAATGCTGAATTTCATCTTCCAAACAGTGGTCACCAGGTTACCGAAGCTCTTCGAGTGCAGATGGAAGTGCAACGAAGACTACATGAACAGTTGGAGGTTGGTTAGAAGCAATGGCTTTCTTCGGTACATATATGGTTAATTATTGACTTGTATATGCTAGCCAATAATGTGAAAATTTCAAAAGCCACTCGCTGATATTGAAAATTTTAGTGACCTAATAGGGGTGTTCTTTTTCCTTCTTGTAGCATATGATTATTCTTTGCCACGAAAAAAGTCTTTTGATGTGTGATTTTTCCACATACTAATGGTTTAACTTACCAGGTACAGCATCGACTTCAACTTCGGATTGAAGCACAAGGCAAATACCTACAGTCAATACTCGAGAAAGCCTGTAAAGCTTTGAATGATCAGGCTGCTGCTTCTGCTGGTCTTGAAGCTGCCAAGGAAGAGCTTTCTGAACTGGCTATCAAGGTTTCCAATGATTGTCAAGGGATGGTTTCCTTGTCTGAACTTGCTGCTGCTCTAGACAACAAAACTACTTCCACTATGCCTGCCCGGATTGGCGACTGCTCTGTTGAAAGCTGCTTGACTTCTGCTGGAAGCCCTGTTTCTCCGATGGCTGTTGGTTCACAGGCAGCTATTATGAAAAAGAGGCCAAGACCCTTGTTTGGTAATGGAGACCCTTTGCCCTTGGATGGCAACATAAGGCAAGAAATAGAATGGGTGATGCCAAGCAGGGCATTTCCGGCTTAAAAATGATACATTATCTCTTTTTCTTTTTTTTTTTTCCCTTTTTGGTTTACTCCTTGTCTAGTTAATCTAAATGTCAATTTTCTTTTGTCAAGTGTATCGTCGGTGGGCTGTACATTCTAAAAGCAGATCTTTTTGAATATGGGGCTACCTCCAAAACTTGAGACTGCCTTCCTTTGCACAGTGTTATGAGACAGGATTTCTATAGTTCACCTTTAAATTTGACATAGAATGCATAATCAAGAGATTCAATATAAGAATATAGTTGGGGTTTATACCTAATACGTCCCAAGGACAATCAAAAGATCTAGATTAGGTATTTTTAAACATGACATTACACAAAAGTAGTGTAATTTAAAATTTTAACAAATATCATGAATTTAAAAAATAAAAACATTGTGTTTCGTGTTTGGTGTGTTGATATTAACTATGATAAAATAATTTTTAAATTTTTTATGTGTTTGACACAAAATATACAGAAATGGATATTTGAATCCTGAGGCTAAAAAGACCTTTTGTAACTGTTGTTTTATTTTCTTTTATATTTTAGTCAATTGTTTCAATGAGAATTGGACAATATTTCCTAATCCAGTTCAGATTTTCCATTTTATATGATGAGATCAATTCACCATGAAATTTGCCATGAATTGTTATTGTACACGAGTTAGATTTTTTAGTCTTATATCTCTATATCAGATTATTTGTTCTATGATGAGATCATTTTCTGGGCCAAGAAATAATCAGGAGTCTAATTCTGGGGGATTTGGATTGTTTTTTATAGGTGGATAAAAACTAGAATCACCATTTTCACCTTGATTGTTGAAATTTTTAGTTTGAGAAAAAACTTCTGCTTGATATTATTATTAGTAGTAATGGATGCTGAATGAAGGAATTCCACCAAATTTTACATTGCTCAGTATCTAGTTATTATGCAATGAAGATGTTATTAAAGATTTAGTAAGGTTTGAATTATATTTATCCATGGATTGGATTGTTTGTCAGGTTCGTTCGATTCTAGTCTACTCTTGGATATAGGATTCTTAAAGTTTTGATCTAAGATTTAGAGGTCTTAACAGGTTTTTTCTTACAAAGAATGTATCAGAGAATATAAAAAGAGATTATAAGTATTGAGATTTGAATTCTTAACTTATTGAGTTAAAATTTGGATTTGTTCAAACCATAAACACCACATAGTCACAATCCTGCATCAGTCGTACCCTCACTTCTCTAGCCAAAACCTTCCATTTGAGCAGAACAGTGCCAGCTGCAAGTGCATAAATGATTAAACATCTTAACCTCCCATGTAAGCAGAACAATACCAGCTGCAATGGCAGAAATGATGAAACAAACATCTTTAGAAAATGCACGAATTCAACAAAAAGTCAAATCTTTACAAAAATTCAGTAACAAAAAAAAAAAAAATGATGGATGATGCTTAGTATTCCACGTTTAACGAGCAACTAAAGTACGGTTGACCAACTTTTTATTGCATGCTTTTGTTTTCATTGTCTGTAACTCCATAATGTTGGTTTATCTGTTCAGCTTTTTTTTTTTTTTTTAACATTTTTTCTGTTAGATTCGTTTTTCGCCCGATTGTTTAATTAACATATATTCGATTGTCATGTCATTTGCCCAAGGTGTTTTATACTTGAGCTCTTCACCCGTCGTAGGTATTCACTTACTTGAGTTGCTCACCCACTTGGAGCTCATCGCCTACACAAACTGCTCGTCCGCTAGGGATAGTACGCTTAATTGCCTTCATTAATGTTCCATCAGCGGGTCATCACATGATGTTCAACTAGTTTGGGATCATTAAATATCACCAATTAACAACCTATATAGATTTTTCATCAGTTGTCAATTACTGGTATCTTATAACCTGCTATATTTCACATATAAGATAAAAGGAGATTTAGGTACATGATTTTGAACCTTCTTTCACCAAGCTTCCTCTATTATTCTCGACAATATTTCCTTTCCTCTTTTACCTTGTTGACTTGAGTATCGAAGTATATTTTCAGAAATCAAACTTTAACGCTTTTTAACCGTGCTTTCTTTGCCACAGGTATAGTTTCTTTTCACCTCACCATCATCGGAGCTCAAACTCACCACTACCCAAAATACCCCCAACAGTTTTTTTGGTAGCTTTCAATCATTTAAAAAAGAAGTTTCATTCAAAGAAAAGTACATAAATTCCAGAAGCTTTAGGATTTTAATGAACTTTTTTTATCACATATGAAATAACAACAGAAAACAAGAAAAACAAAATTTCACCCAAACAAAGGTAAGATTTTCATATGTTATCTTTTCATCTTCTTTTTCTCCTCCAAGAAATTATGAAAACCAAAGGAAAAAACAGATGTAATTAAGTGAATGATAATAATCAATTAAGTAAAAAATTTGGGAATAGGATAATAGGAGATTTGAGTTTAAAAATAGAGAAAACATGAAATTAAGTGAAATCAGAATTTAGTTCAATTGGTTCATTTTTAAGAATATACAATTTCAATTTTAATACTTGTAATTTTTTTATCCTCATATTGCAGCTCCATTGGCAAAAAAAAAAAAAAAAATTAAATAATTAAATTAATTAAGTAAAACTTATCTAAACGGTTTTTTTGGTAAACATTATGTTAGAAATAGATAAACCGCCAAATTAAGCACAGCTTAGTAGTAGCGCATTTTTTATATAGAAAAAGAGAAAAGGCAGAGTTGTAATAATGTGCTGACATGGCATGTTTTCATTGGTTGCAAGGAAAGACAAAGGTGCTAAGTGAAGCAGAACTTAATGCTTTTCTCTTTAATTTGTACCGTTACGATATTTGACACAAAAGAATAAAGATGCATGCACTCCTTATTGTCAAAAGCCAAATTATGGTATCTCCGATTTGAAAACTATTAGAAAAATAATATGGATTACAAGGCTATAAGATACAACTTGATACTTGATTGTCTTGTGAATTTGTGAATTTTTTGTAGCCCCTTTATTGAAATTGCTTCAAGATGTGTTGCAAACATCCCTTAAGGATTATTTTGCCCAAACTAATTATAATATGCAAAAAGGTTAACTAAAACTCCTTTAAGATACAATGAAACTTTGTTTGATTATACTTTGTACTAGTATAATTGTGACACCCCAATCTTACATTGGGAGGTTTGAGGATTTGGTATGATATTTAACTAAAAGTTTAAACCCAAACTTGTGAGATGCCTTTTGTGAAACAAAACCATGAGATCTTTGGGTCAAAGCAAACAATACTTTGCAAGTTGGGTATAGGTCTCCACAAATGGTATCAAAGTTAGATTACGAGTCGTATAGAAATTAAGTGCTACACCGTGAAAGCCACCTTTAGAAAATCTTGTGAGAGCTAAGTGCTACATAGCAGAAGTCACCTATAAAATTTCAATGTTTGGTGTGATCTTGTAATATGTGTATACTTTATGTTGGGCTTGCTTAACATTTGGTGTGATTCGGTTGATCTGTATACTTTGTGTTAGGCTTGATGAGGGTGTGAAGCTTTAACAGGAAGAGTTTTTGACACCCTAATCCCACATTAAAAGGTTTTGAGGATCTGTTATGATATTTAAGTAGATGCTTAAACCCAAACTTGTGTGAAACGCCTTTTATTAGACAAAATCATGAGACTTTTGGGTCAAAGTTAACAATAACTCACAGATTGGGTGTGGGTTTTCACAATAACAAACTACTAAACACACCTTAGTAGGAATAGAAATACCTTGTCTTTGTAAGGTTTTCTATAGCAAACAATGCTAAAGCAATTTGATCTTTTTGTTAAAAAGAAATATGAGAAAGAAGAGAGAAATTCGAAATTGAATTCGATCATTAAATGAACTCATATCAATTTTTATTTATAAAGATTGAATGCTAAGGTTGTGACTTTTTGATTATATTATTTCAATTAAAGATCAAATCATTTTGATTATAAATGTCTTTTTAAAAGATTACAAACATATTTGTTCATTTGAATAATCAAACTTTTCTCCAGAAAGAAACCATTTTTCTCATTTTTAGAAATTATAACTTTTCATATAAAGTAGTAGATTGCCCTAAGAAAACATCCGACTCCTTTTTTTTATTTCCAATTTCCAGAAAACTTTTAGAATTAGGATAGTTGACTTTTCCATAGAGCATTCAAATTTTTGATTTATTTAAAATGCATTCAACACATGAACAGTCAACATAGCTGTCGACTCCTTGGAATAGAAATGTTTCCATAACCAGTCTTTTATAGGGCATTTGACTCCTTTATAATAGCAGTTGACTGCTTATAGCATAGATCAATCCTAAAACTATCATCCAATGCCAATTGCTTCTTAAAAGGTTTGGAATTTATTACAAACTTTTTGTAGACACAGCAATCGATTGCTTTAAGATGTCAGTTGATTGTTATTTGTATAGAATCTAAGTTTAGTTTCGGTTTGACAAAGTAGTCGACTTCAGGCCTTTAACAATTGACTGCTCTTCCTAGACGATTAAGGTAGTTGATTGCTTTAAGTATAGCTATCAACTGCTCTTTTATATAGTCTTCTTATATGATTCTTTTTAAGTCTAGAATAATATTTTTGACCATTTTATGACTTCACCTTAAGTTAATTTATCAACTTAACTTTAATTTCTCTTTGATTACATTTATTACTTAATCATATTTTCATATTTTGAAAATTTTTTTTAACATTCCCTTTTCTATTTTCAAAATACAACTAAGTTATGATATTTCTGAAATTCTTATGCATAACTAAAGATATCATATGACATGATTTCAAATTTTTTACTTTAGTGATAAAGTGTTGTTGATTAGTCAAATTGAATAGTAGATTTTAGATATTTGAACCAACCAATCTATGCGGCTAGTCATGCAGTAATACCACTAATAAAACATCAAATCTTGCCAATATGTCATTTAACCTTGCTTTGACAGAATTTCCTTAGTTATGTCTTGTATATTTATGAGTGCTTTTAGAGTCAAGTCCATGTTCCTAGAAGTGGTACCACTTCCACTCATATAAATGAATTTCATAAAAAATGCAACCATATAAGCATTCCAACATTAAATTACCATGGTATGGATTCATTAAAATTTAATTCTCAACCTTTCCATATATGGTTCAAGTATTTATATATTTTGGGATGGTTTTAAATTTAAAATACTTGCTATCACGTACAAATGATGTACTTTACTAATTAAAACTCAAGACTTAATGTGCAATTAATCATTGAGTTAAGGTTCCATAATGTATGACTTATTTTATGGACTTGAGTCCTTTTTTTATGGAAGTTTTA